CCCTTGTACTTGTGAACTGGTACTTCAGTTCTGTAAAAATGGTGTTTTGTAAAGGGTTCACAGTGTTTCATTTTGAAGTTAACCTGAAGCTGCTTATGAATGGTGGATGGTATGCACTGAATTTAGAATATGATTAATTTTTATGCTTTGAATGATGGATAAATTTGATTTGGAATACATTCATCTAAATTCAACAGGTGAACCAGACAGGAATAGTGAAAAATATATCAATTTTAAGATATATTCTTTCATATGTTATGCTTTGAGTTTATCTTGGAAAGGGGCAGTTAAACTCTTACTTCTGGAGAAATTAACTTTACAAAGTAGAGTCATGATCTTTCTCTGCTATTTTTCCTCTTCTCAGCAGAGTAGTTTTATTTTAAGTTGCATGATATCTTTAAAAGAAGGCTTACTGTTTATGTCTAATATGAAGAGTTTAAAATAATTATTTCTGAAACTGAACTTTCTTGAGTATTGGATGTCATGAAATACTCGTTCGCTTCTGATGAAACCTTGCTCCAGTGAGGTCAGTGGCAGTAAGATTTCATCCTTTTGTTTTTGTAATTTTCAGAAAAAACTGTTTACCACTCATAAGTACAAATGCAGCCTGAGGTTTTGGTTGGAATGTGTTATGTGAGGCACATTGTCTTTTAACGCTGTTATCTGTGGGAAGATTGAAGCAGTTCTCTGTGTGTGTGTGTATGTATGTGTATATTGCACTTCGACACGCTCCAGTTCTGGTTATTTCAAGAAGAAGATTTAAAAAAGAAAGAAAAAGTGCCTTCTTGGTCGTCTCAATCTCAGAAGCCCTGGCAGTTCATGCTGGAGTGATTGAGAAGGTTCTCATCCCTAAAGGATGTTCTTACTTCTGAAACGGAAGCCTTGAAACTGAAGTGGTGAACCATGTGCTGTGTAGTTTTCAGGCATTGGTCTTCCCAGCCAGCTGCACTGGAATCAATTGGTTTCACCCTGGTAATGCACCAGGCTGTGCGCTGCAGCTGGGAAGAGCTTTGCTTCATGATCTCTGTTGGATTTAGCTGTGGCAGTTGAGTTAATTGCAAGTAGGTGTTTATCTCTTTAATCACTGCTGCTAAATCCAATAAGAATCATTAATTGGATCACACAGAAATTACTTTATTTGTAAGTGTGCATTTTCCATTGATTTAAAATAGCAGGAAGATAACAATTCCTTTAATTATGTTTAGAGTAGATGTGAACTGTAAGTATTTTTAAAACAAGCAAATTTATTTATTGCAGAAGCAGGGTTTTTTTGGGGGGTGGGGGAGGATTAACAATGTAGTTTCAGTACAAAGAGCAGAACACAACTCCTGAGTACTTGGAGGGGGGATATAAGTACTGTGATTAGTACTTGCTTAATGAAGATACATTTAGCAAAATGGATTCTGATATGGACTAGGTGGAATAAGGCTCTCAAGCACTTTGCTGATCCAAAAAATAACCATCATAGCTGATCCTTACTGTACATTTCCTAAGAAGCATAAGGTGTCTCTAGGCAATGCAGAGCTAATCTACATCTGCTTCCAGATCCTTTTGCGAAGTGAAGAATCAATAAATTGATCATAGAATCTGTAATTTACTAAACACAAGAGCTCCTAAGAAATCCTTCTAAGGATGTGGAATAGATGTGACATATTTTTTTTCCCTCATTAGAAAATAAGTATCTTTACCTCATTTCCATTCAGCTTTTAAATACCAGTTTAAAAAATGAAACCGCTACTCTTAAACTGAAGCGTCCTAATTCGTTGTGTCATAACCCATGTTTTGTTTTATATTTGTGGGTTTGTACTCCTTTAATAAACAAATTAATGGAGATAAAACTCCAAAACTTAAAGCCTGCAACTTGTGAGGTTGATTGGCCTCACATATTAATTTGCTTTTCAAAACTGTCTAAAGAACAGGGAAATAAATTTGCAAGACATTTTAAGTTTTCTTTTTTCCCCACACCAGTTTGTTTTCTATAGAATTGTTGAAAAGTTTGACCTGGTCTTAAAAACTGGAGAGTGATCTGTTGAAAAGCAGTATCTTTGAATAGAGGCAAATTTTCAGGGTTCTGTCTGTAGAGATAGACCTTTTCCCATTCTTGAATAAAATAAATGAATCTTTCTTTGTGGCCTGGAACTGAGCAACTAGATTTTGTATTGTATAAACATTGTTGAAGGACCAACGTATTCTGGAAAAAATGCTTCTAACTTTGTAATTTAGATATGCATGTTATTCATTCTTTGAACTGCTGTAATGGTGCACTTAACCGAAAGCATTCAGTGGATTCCTTGAGCAACATTTGAGCAAAGGAATAATTCCAGTTATTTCAGTAAGATGAGCCATGTACTTGAAGTTTAGGCTTGTATTTAAGTGCTCTTCTGCACCTGAGTCATTGCTGTTCAGTTATGTGTCTAACTCAGTTCCTAGTCAAAAGGGCTAAATGCCCAAGCATCTCTACAGTTTATCTGGTTAAGTGTACATTGAATTGGCTGTATGTAAGCGCATACTTAAATTAGGCATATACTTATGTACGTTAGTGACCAAGGATCTAAATTAGAATGCAGACACACCACTTCAGGAGCCATTTCTGCCGTTGGATTTACTTGAGCCATGTCTGTTGTTTCTGTAGAAACAGGCATGAGTTGATTTCAAGTTGCTAGCTGTTCAGGGTAAGGTCTTATTCACTGGTCATTTGAAAACACTTAAGCATTTCTATTTTTCAGAAGAACTCATACATAATTCTATGCCTAATTTGCATGCACAGCTGCTGGAATTGTATATTCGAAAGCCTGATAGCTACGTATTAGGCAGGATGCACAGTCAAGTACCTGAACCTCATGAGCAGTCAGGCAGATCAGGTACACCTCTCATTGCATGATTTCAAAGTGAGATCTGTAAAGAGTGCTGAACAGTGTGATGATGAGTCAGATTCATGCATGTTTGTTTTTTTTTTAAAAGCCCTGGAAGTAGTTATTGCACAGTTAATTCTTAAGTGCTAATAATTTTTCCTATTTTTCTCCTTTACATAGCAAAATCAAGTGGTTTGTTACATGTTAAGGAGCAAGGTGCCTCAAAAGTTAACATAAATAAAATAAATGTAAATAGGAAGCATGAAAAAAAAGGGTACTGTTATTTTATCTTTTCTATTCCACCCATGCTACATATAAATTTTCATTTAGATTTGTTTTGTCCTTTGGCCATATCCAACTGTAACCCAGTCCTTGCTGCATATACCTACAATAGCTTTGCAATGCCTTTTTTTTTTTTAAACACTTTTTTTTTTAAGTAATATGTTTCCTGTGGGTCTATTGGAACTCTTACAGCTAAAACTGCAGAGTGTTTTGAAACTTAACTCGTATTTTGCTTTTTGATAAGAGAACTTATATGTTCATTTTAAAATCCAGAAATGGAGGGTTTTATAGTTAAAACATACACAGTTTGAACCAAAGCAGTAAAAGCCACTGGTGCAATATTTGTATATAGTTTAACTTTTAGAACAATGTTTAGATAAAAGCATTTCCTTCACTGAAGTGCATGGGGTAATACCAAAGGGCTCAGTTGGATATATGCGATTATGCCAGTAATTTTCAATAGATTGTAGATACCTAGTGTAATTAGAACTTTCTGTAGTTTTTCAGTTTAGTGTTTAATGTTTGTACAAGTTTAAATCCCTTTGCATTTCAAATTTAATATGTACATTGTAATCATAATTGCTTAGCTATTAAATGTTTCGATTTTTGAAGATTCTTGGGGGCTCATTTAGCAGTCTTACTGTGACTAACATTGAATGAAAACTGTGTTTAATTCCTGTTAGATATTACTTAAACTTTTAGCACGACAGGGAGAATATAATCTGGTTGAAATAGTAAGAAACACGGATTTTGGGAAAATATGGTTTGCTTAGCTGATCAGTTATGATTTTCTTCAATCTGAGTAAATTTAAAACTAATTTATCAAGGTTTCAGCTAAGCTGAGGTGACCTAGAATGTAAGACAGTACCAGTCTAAATGTTTTCTGCCCTCCTCTCCCCTTCTCCACCTTCAACTTCACTTGTAGTATGTATTGTGTGGAGTCACAGTAGTTCAGTAGTTTTTATTTTATTTTTATTTATTTTTGCATCCAAAGTAGGTACACCAGAGGAATTATTTAAAAGAAGAAAAAAAAGCACATTCCGTTAGCACATACTTTGGTTTTTTTCTTTTTTTCTTTTTTTCTTTTTTCTTTTTTTCTTTTTTTCTTTTACTGATTTGGTTATTTGCCATTTCTGGGGATTAAACTTTAAAAAATGTTCTTCTTTTCTGTATCTGATGTTCTGTGTGCTATTAGTGATGCAGCCAACACGAACGGTTGTCATGTGTAAAACAACTTTCGATCACCGCGAAAACACCGCCCTGGGAAAGCGTCCATGCTTGATATCGTTTGGTTCATGAACATTAAGTTTCCAGTACAGGTGACCCATAGCTCAAAGTGTTAAATAATTGTATACATTATTCAGTTTTTAAAATAATAATCCATTAATGAGATTGCTAGTCTTTGAAGTATTGCTCACTTTTGTTTTTCCTAGTAGAGCAGGGTAGAGGGAAAAACTTAAGTTCTTATTTGTTTCTTTGTAAGGATCTGGTAGATAGAGTCATTGTTATTTATTACATTTTTAACTGAAAGGGTAATTGTAAAATCATAGAAAGAGTAACATCTGTGTAGTGTTCCAACTCTGTGTAACGCTTTTGTTTGCTTCTTCAGGTAAAATACCAGATGAAGCCAAAGCCCTCTCTCTGTTGGCGCCTGCTCCTACTATGACAAGCCTGATGCCTGGTGCAGGGTTGCTTCCTATACCTACACCAACACCTTTGACTACAGTAAGTAAAATTGAGTCGCTCTTTGATTTCTGGTTTCACCTATACTCGGTAGCATTTTCTGGGTTCAGAGAACAAGAACTGTCGTCCATGGGTATTGTCCTCTTGTATGCTAGATCAGTGAGGGTTTAGCTGTGGTGCCTCTTCTGAGGGTAGATCACAGGATGTCCACGCACTGCCTTTCCTGGGTTTTTCTTTCAGATTATGATTTCGCAAAATAGTGGATAAATACTGATTTTGCGTCTATCTATTTTAGTTGTCCTTCCCTAGACCCGTTAAATTGTCCCAGAGGCGCTTCTACCCACCTCCTAAAAATGTTACAATGTATTAGTTACCTTGCATTAGAATACTTTTACTTGATATCTCTACGACAGGGTTTTTGACTGTTTTCACTAAAAAAAAGCATAGGAGCTAGGTGCTGCTACTTCTGCTCAGTTCCTTTTGCCTCTCTAAGCCTTTCTGGACATCAGCAGGCTGCTGTGACGTATTCGGGGAGAATTTCAAGTTTTCTCTTTTGTTACAATGGTGGCTTGTTGAGAGTTTCTCATACTGTTAGAAAATTTGCTGAAAAAGCAGTTGCTTTTAAGCTGGAGAAAATAAAATTAAAACCAATAACTCGGCAGACCAATTTGATAGTGATTTTCAAGTGACTTCTTTTTTTAATAAGATTCCCCAGGACAGATTTCAATTCTCAGTTCCAAACAGAGCTTTGCTGTCCTCAGTCTCTAGGAAGTGACTTAAGAACTTAAGACTTAGTGCCCTTCATATTTCAGCTGTAATTAATGTTGCCTTTTGTGATGTGTTTGACTAAGAGGTACCTTGGCAGTCCCTTGGATAGACTGATATGTATTACAGGACAGATTGGCCCTGGCCACTGAAAATTCCCTTCTTCCCGTGCTCAGCAAGGGCTCAGCAGTTCCTTATCTACTCCTAATAACTTGTGGGAAAATTAAAAAAATAATATTAGGAGTTTCTGAAGAGATCTTGCTCCATTTGATTGGCTGTAAGCATTAGAAATTCAAGCCTGTATGTTTTCTGATTTATACACGGCACTCCTGGCCAGATGTGTTTGATAAGAGTTTACCTGATAGCCCATGGGTATAGATGCACTTATTTATGGGTAGATTTTTCTTCTCTACAAAGCGTGTTCCACTGGGACCTTAAAGTTTAAAGTATTGCCTATATTCATTAGATTTGTTCTTACAGAAACGTGCAAGGCAGGCAAGTATTAACAAGTTAAGTATCTCTCACCAGTGCTTGGTTGCAAAGCATGTGCCGTTTTTCTGTTTTCCAGCTTGGTGTTTCACTTGGCACTTTGGGGGCTATACCAGCAGCAGCATTGGACCCCAACATTACAGCACTGGGAGAAATACCACAACCACCAATTATGGGGAATGTCGATCCATCCAAAATTGATGAAATCAGGAGAACAGTCTATGTTGGAAACTTGAATTCCCAGGTAGCCTTTTTGTGTGTAATAGAAGTACCAATGGAAGGTGAAGAATTTGTGAAGTATGAATTCTGATCTTGCATGTTGAGAGTTTTCTTCAGTTGATGTCAATAGGATTTTAAACTTCGAGCCAGATCAGGAGAACATTCAGGAGCGTGCTGATCCCTGGCAATAGGACAGCCCAAGAGCATGAAAAATGTCCAGTAATACTCATACACTGTCACCATTGGCCTGGTAGAAAGGGAAAAAACTCGGGACAGTTTCTCTGTAGGCTGGGTCCCCGAGGAGGAAAGGCAAGAGGTGTAATTGTTGCAAGACTCCAGGAGGTGGCACCCGAAGTACGGGAGCGATGACAGCACCGGCTACAGGATGGGATGGTGCCCACCGCCGCCCTCACATCCCCCAGCTGAGCAGTAGCCTTCAGCCGAGCTAAACCAGTAACAATCAGCATAGCAAGGACACGTAGGGCAGTAGATCCCACA